AGGACAGGGACCTTCTCTGCTTCTATATTTATTCTCAGTGTCTACAAACAGTACTCTGCAGAGTAGCCAGTCATGACCACTGGAGGCAGGAAGATAAGAAGGGAGGGGAGAGAATGAAGGAAGGAATAAACAAATGAATGAACAGATTTTCTGCACAGTAAAACTATATCTGATTTTTATTCTCTTCTTTTTTCTTAGTCTTGGTTTCTGAATATTCTACCAAGAACAGGTACTACATGTAAGGTGAGAAAACAACATGATCTCACAGATAGCCCAAGCCACTGCCTCATCACACATATGTGATCTGTAAGCCCTTTCTGCTTCGATCAGAGAGATCATGTGTCCTGTCAGTCTAGCAAATGGCTCCTTCCCTGTGACCTTTGTCAGCTGAGCCCTGGCTCCTCCTGCTTCCTGGTAGCTCAGTGGCTCTGTCAGGGGAACCAGAGACCTCCCCACCCCCAGCAGCTCAGTACTCATTTCCTCCCCATCATCTCTCCACCCTTTCACCTTTCTGGTGCTCTCAGACCACATACACTACTTCAACATTGATTAATTCCACAAATAAGATAACCATAGTAATTAGCATTTATGGAGCACTTACTATGACCTAGGTATCACAGACTTGTTTCCTTACTCCTCCTCATGACCACATTATAGCAGAAGGCTGACCAAGGACGACCAGGTGGGTAACTAACTCACCTATTCCAGATCACATGATTGGCAAGTATTGGAACCCAGACCGTCCAGTGCAGCTCAAACCTTTCATTACTGTGCTAACCACCTCTTACCATGCACTGAGCACCTCCTGCACATGGAACTTGGGTCAAAAGTCTAATGTGTGCCCACATGGGGCCTGATGCCTACTGCGTGCCAAGTCAAGTGCCTATTGTGAGTTAACCTGGGGTTGAGTGCCTACTGTGTGCTGAGCTGGGGCATGCAGAACAGAAAGCACAAAGTCAGCATAAGTGATATAGAAATAAAAACAATGATATAAAGTAACAGTAACAATAGCCAATGAGCATCAAGGGTCTGTGCTCTCATTTTAGATGTCATATTTCTAGGCCTCCCAGTCACCCTCGGAGATAAGCACAGTCAGGATCCCCATTTTATAGACCAGAAAACTGAGGCACAGAGGAAGGGATGCTTTTGCCCAAGGTCACACAGCAAGTGCGAGGCAGCGTTGGGATGAGAATCTAGAGGTTTTCTGATTCCAGAGTGTCCTGGCTGTTGAAATAAAAAAGGGCTTGCACTAGGCTGGGTGCGTCTTAGATGGACTGAGATAGACAAGGGGAAATCCACCTGGAGGGAATCTCCAAAATCAAAGTCCTGGAGGCTGGGAGTGTTAGTGTCAGGCTGCAGGTGCACAGAGAAGGATGTGGGGAGCCACTGGGCAGGAGCTATGGGTGGAGACAAACTGATTAGCATGTCAATCACACAGCCTGTGCTTTAATTCAGTGAGCAGAGAGGAGTCATAGAAGGTTGAGGAGCAGGAGAGTGACTTGATTAGAGATGTGCGTAAGAAAGAGTTAATCCAGCAATGGGTAGAATGAACAAACAAGGAAGAGCAAGGGTTAAGAGACTACTGCAATAAAAGGGTAGGGGTGAGGGGTAATAAATTTGGTTTTGGTTTACCCCCCTTCTGGAAGGCATATGCACCCCCCACACTCTTCCCTTAGGAAGCCACCGTCCCCCACTCTGTCTCCTGGTTTAGGTGTTGGGTGGGGCTGCCCCTCACGCACTCCAGGGGTGGGCACTGATCCAGCCCTAGCCTGCCAGAGTCTCAGGGATTGGTTCAGGATGGGCAGGTAAACCCAGCCAGGCTAAAAAGAGTGTCAGTCTGGAGACTTCCAAACTCATTGGCAAAGGGACTCTCTCTCCCCACCAGGATATGGCTCTACCCATGGCCTGGAAGCAGGGCAGCTGGCGGCCATCTGTATCACCACTCAGGGAGAACCTACTCTCCTGACCACAAGAAGAGCAATAAAGGAGGAAGGCAGAGCTGGGAGAAGGAGGAGAAAGGGCTTGAGTTTGGGCAGCCTCACCTGCAGCCAGCAATTCCCCTGGACTTTCCCACCATGGAAGCTATAGACCATTTTTTTTGCTTAAGCCAATCCACACAGGGCCTCTCTCACTGCACCTGAAACCTCTGACCACACGCATGGACTGAAGCATAAAGCTGTGAGCGCAGAAGGAAGGACCAGGTGTGTCAGAAGAGCTAATGCAAGGCCACAGAGGGTCCAAATCCTGCCAGCAGAAAAAAACAGGAGAGGAGGGCCCAGCAACTTTCCAGATCGGTGACCTTCCAGAAAACAGCTGCTGTAGACAAGGAGGCCAGCTTTGGAGGCTGAGGAGAGATGAGAGCAGGAGAATGGATAGGCAGATTCCACTCTGAAAAATGCTAGGGGGAGACGGGAGAAGGAAGACAGTAGCCAGAGAGGAGAGAGAAGAAGGAGGGTGTTTCAGAGATAATGACCCAGGAGGGAGTGCCAGAGAGGGAAGCGAGCCCAGGAGGAAACCCACACTCCCATCCCTACGGCCCAGAGATGTTTGGAAACAGGAAGCCTGTTCAAGAGGGGACCCTCAGGCCTGTCAGGACACCTGGCTAGGAATTAGGGCCACAGAGAGCCCTCCCTGCATCATGCAAATGGGTAACTGCAAACAATCCCACAAGCCCAGTCGGAACCTGCTATACCACTGAAGAAGCCTCATGGCTTGGAGATGAGAATCTAAACCACTTCCTTAGAGTGAAAAGGCCAAGAGCATGGGCCTTGGAGCCAGTGTAGCTGCGTGATCTCGGGCAAGTCACTTAACCTCTCTGGGCTTTGGTTTACACATCTGTGGAAGGGGAACAATCTCAGTAACAAAGACAAGGCACACCAAGTGCATGACTGATGTATAAAGTTACTAGTTGGTGTTCGATTCTTTTGACACTAAGTTATGAGGACACAGCAGTGGGAAGGAACAGGCTTTTCCAAGAGGAACAAGAGCAGACACAGCACCCACAACTCGCCTTTACATTTGTCCAACAGATGGATGAGGAAGGCAGGCAGACTTCCAGCCAAAGCAGACAGAGCCTTCAGATCCCATGGTCCATTCATAAGATCAACAAGCAGCAGGGAAAGCATTTTTAGTTCCCCTGCTAGACACTCCCCACTCCCATCTCTGTGCTTGGGGGAGGGTCAGAGTAGAAAACCACAAAGCTCAAGGGAGGAAGGAAGTGTTCTCTGACCCAAGCAAGACCTTCCAGCTTTGCAGGCCCAATGGCCAGGAGCATCTGTTAGGAATCTATTAACCGGATGGTCTGTCTTCCCCAGGTCACCTTCTCCTGCTTGATGGAGAGAACAATAGCTTCAGAAAGGAAACCCAGTCTGATGGGGCGGGGACATGGATGGCCAGCAGGAGGAAAGAAACTGCTAGTTTACTGTCCTCAAGTTCAGAGAGGAGGAAAACTGGCCTGTGAGACAAAACTTCAGAGCCAGCAAAGTCAAAAATACTGCTGAATCGCTTCGTTGTGCACCAAATCGGTGGAAAGTCAAGAGTTTGCACTTATTCTACTTGCAAAAGCATTCGCCACTGCAGTGGAAAGATGGAAGTGGTTAAGACAGGGCTCTGGAGTCAGGGGCCTGGGTCTAAATCCTGACCCACCAACTCTCTACAAGAGGTCCTGTGCGCCTTTTGAAACATGAGTTGTTATAGCACTTTATGTGACCAGTATTTTAGACCAATCACTTACAAAAGCAATGAGTGAATGTCGAGAGGCAGCTCTCGGGGCACACATTTTAGTTGGGGGGGGAGTGGCTTTTACTACCCTGCCCATAGCATATACTTCATAAATATTCTTTGAATTAGACTAAATGCAAAATATCATAAGGAAGCAGTTAAGAAAAGGAGCCGTCATGCGATGCTTGGCGCAATTCTATACTTTTATTTATTTCACAAACGACCATGTAGTTTGTCCGGGCATTGTCCTGACGTGTGGCACACACTGACTCACCTACACCCACAACAGCCCTCCGAGATCATAAGTGAGGAAGCCAGGGCACTGAGAGGTTAAGTAACTTGCCCCAAACCGTACAGGGAGGAAGTGGCCACTCAGGTTCAAACCCACCCACCAAGCTGGCTCAGAGTCCCGCCCTAACCTTCAAGCTGCACTGTCTTTCTCTGAATATATCTATTTCCAAGCTGGAGACCAGAAGCCAGAGTGAGCCCATTCTCCAAACTCAGCTATAAAGGGTCCTGTCACCAATAATGGTGAACCTTTGCCTCTGTTGAGGGGTTTACAGTTATATACACCATGTGTTCTTTCCTTTTAATGGTTCAACTACCAGGGAAGTGCACAAAGTTTTAAAATCTTAAGCATTTTGCTTAATGATTGCTTACATATGTGCCCACCACTATCACCCCCGGATGGAAATACAGGACCCTCCACCCCCAACCTTTCTTGTCAGTGGCTATCTATGCCAAAATGTGACCACTATTTCTGACTTTTCACACCAAGGATTAGCATTGCCTTTTCTACAATTCCATACAAACATAATCATAGGAGTGGGGGGACCCTTTATATCTGGCTCTGTATTCTTCAAATAAGAAACATATATATAGCCCACACACTGACAATGATTGTGGTTGAAAGGAGGGTTGCAGCTGATAGTTTGTTTCTCTTGCAATAAGCACGAGATTGTTTTTATTTGGCTCACTGACCCATCAGAGGGGAGGATGGGAGGGCTGAACACTGGCATTTGGAACCTCCTGAGTTGACTGTGAAAACCAGTGATCCGCAGGAGGCAAAGGAGCCGGCTAGTAAGGGTACTGCGGAGCAAGGAAGCCAGGTCACCTCTGGTTGCTCTGAATGTCCAGGGGGGAGAAGGCTTTGGGAGGCTTTAAAAAGCTCAAATCTGGTTCCTCCAGCGTCAGGGGCACCCAAGGTGGCGACGGCCTCCTCCCAGACGTGGACCATTTCCCAAAAGATCAGTAATTCCCCCAAAAGGCGCGTCTCCTACCTGTGCACTGTTGGATGAAGTCCTGATATTCCTCTCCCTGCTCGCCGGGAACGATGGTGGAGCCGTCATATTTAAAAGTCACCCTTTGGATTGGAAGAAGAAAAAACACACACACACATCAGCGTTGGTAGCTGCATGATGCCCAGCTTCCAGCAGGACAATCTAAAAGATGCTCTGGCTGGGGAGAAGCCAGCGCTGGCTGGCTTCCCACGCTGTCCTGGGTTAAGGCTGCGGAAGACAGCACAGGATGACCCTTAATCCGTCCCATCTGGAAGACGGCTCAGTGCACCAGGGCCATCGCGAGCTCGGGGAGCGGGGCCTGGAGAGCAAAGGAAAGTTCCTCACCAGATGACGGCCGAGCCATCGTCGCGCACCAGGTTGTACGCCTCCCGGCAAGCCTCTTTGTCGATCTTGGTGGCCATCGCCGCTTGGCCGCAGCGGAGACACTGTGCTCAGAGAGACCGAACGCGTCCGGGGCAGGCCGCAGGGACTGGAGCACGGCGCGGACGCGCGGAAAGCTGGCGGGCGGCGGCGGCGGCGACGGCAAAGCGGGGTTGCGAGCTCCGAACTCCCAATGCAACCGCGGCTGCGAGTGCTACCGAGCGCGCGCCGGGACCTAGGCCTCACCGCCCCGCCCCCCGGCCGCACCGCCCAGGCCCCCTCTGACCATTGGCCGCCCAGGCCGCGATCGCCACGCCCCCATCGTCATTGGCCGTCGGGCCTCTGGGGCGGGGCATCTTTACTCATTGGCGGCCAATCTCAGCCCCGGCGGGTTGCGCAACTCCTAGAAAGCGCTTTTCCTCCTCCCTCTCCCTGCTCCCTCCTCCTTTTCTCTCTCCCTCTCTTCCCTTCTTTCTTCTCCCTCCTCCTCCCTCTCCTCTCCTCCGAACCCCGTCCTTGTTCTCCCACTCCTCCAACTCCATCTCCCCCCATTTCCTTTTCCCCAACCCCTTTTCCTCCTCCTTCTTCCCTTCTCTACTGTGTCTCCCTCCTCCCCCTTCTGGTTTCTTCTTCCTCCTTATACCCCCTCCCCCTCCCCTTCTTGCTCTTCCTTCTCCCCCTAACCTCTTCCCAGCCTCTTTCCAACCTCCTCCTCTCCACTCCAGTCCTCTCCTCATTATCCCCACCCACAGCCCCTTCTTCCTCCTCCCTAGTCCGTCTTCCTCAAGCTCTCCTCTTCCTCCTCCTCTCTTCCTCTTCCCCTCCCTCCTCTTCCCTCCCCCACCTTGCATCTCCCTCCTCCTTATTCCCCTCTTTCCTTTTCCCTCACTCCCCCCAGCTGCAGAGCTCCACAGGGAGTCTCCAAGTGGGTGACTTGATGCATCAAACCAAAGGAGACAGCCCCACCCCCACCCCAGTGTTTATAGCTCTGTGGTTTTAGGTGGGGAGAAATTGGAGGAAGTAAGCATTTTAAATAGAAGGGGATAGAAAGTGGACTGCTTCCAAAACTGGTGGGATCACTGTTTACTTTGTATTCTGGTTATTTACATTCAGGTCTTATCTCCCCCTTTGGTTTCCTCTGAGTGCAAGAGCTGATTCATTCTGTCTTCCTCATTTCCTCATCCAGTCAGTCCACAAAGACCAGTTACAGTGTCATGGCAGGTAAAAGGGCGAGACCCTGGAGACCAGCCTCTTGAATTGCATCCAGCACTGTCACTTTCTAACTGTGGGTCCTTAGGCAAACCTCAGAAACTCTGAGATTGCTCTCCTGGAATGGAATAATACAAGCACTGACATTGTAGAGTTGTTGATAGTTTAACTGAAATGATATGTGTAAACAAATATATTAGATAGTCAATAAAAGGTCATCTCTGTTGGTTATTAAGTAATTAAAATAAATCCTAAATAAAAACCTAGCCCTGGCCAGTCTGGCTCATTTGTTAGAGCATCAGCCTGCAGACTGAATGGTCGCAGAATCGATTCCTGGTCAAGGCACATGCCTGGGTTGCAGGTTCAATCCCAGGCCCCGGCAGAGGTTGTGTGGGAGGCAACCAATCGATGTGTCTCTCTCACATGGATGTTTCTCTCTCTATCTCCCTCCTTCCCTTCCACTCTAAGAATCAATGAAAAAGTATCCTCGGGCGAGGATTAACAAAAAGAAAGAAAGAAACCCAAAAGGTCAGGGGCTAATAATAAAATTCTTACTGGCAAAAAAAAAAAATTAATCAATGGGTGGCGGGGACCACATTTCCAGGAAAGTAGGAGAAGGTGTTGCTATTTGTGGGGGAGGAACTTTCCTCTACCCTTAAGACAATTTAGTAAGATAAAATAACCGAATTTAATATGTACATATGTGTGGGAATCCTGCATACATGAGAGAGTCAGACCCCATTTGCATAAGAGGTTCAGAGACAGAATGGAAACATTGGGTATATAAGACATTCTGAGCTAGGGGTGAGGTAAAGTGCCTTGGGGGCTTCAAATGATTATTGCAGGATGATAAGAGCAGATGTCTGGCAAACAGAAGGTTGTCCTGCCTGATAGATAGGTCAAAAGGGGTCATCTCTGATAATGGCTCACTATGGTCAAGGCCCTTAATTCAAGTTCTGGGTAGCTAAGGAAAGGGCAAAAATTTTTCTTGAGCCTGAGGCTACAGCTGCCTTTAGCTCAAATCAATTTGCACACCACAGGGACATACCTTGGGGTGATTCATTCTAACCCCCACACGATAAATCAAAACACAAAAACAAAAAATTCCAATTTTATGCAGCCCAAAGCAGTTACTACCTTATTCCCTGATAAAGCTAATAGTACAATTGGCCATAGGAAAACAAAAATGGATCCATACATCACATCATCGATCAAGGTAAATTCCAAAAGGACTGTGGTAGGCAGTTAGACATGAGCAGAGCAAGGACGAAGGGCCAGGTACAGAAGGTCACCAGGGTGAAAAGCCCCAGATGCCTAGCAAAGGACAACTGTAGAGTGGGACCTCGTCCCCAGGGTGGCCTTTCCTCTTCTAGCATATCACTGACCTTCCCTCCCTAGAGATAACATCTAGGCCTCAGTTGTATTTCAGCTCCAGGCCCAGAGAAGCAGCAAAACCAAATGGCTGATCTCAGGACCAGCTGCATTGACTAATGACCCCCTGCCCTGGCACGGACCAATCAATCGACAGAGACCTGATCATGAAAGGACACACCTGGAAAGCTGCTGAATATTCTATTGAGATCTTCCCCTAGGGCCTCCCATAAAATCTCCACCCTTAAAACCCTTAGGACAGAGGCCCAGCTTGCCTTTCCTTCCCCCTAACCCTCCTCCTCCCAGGCACATCACCTTTACCTCCCTCACTTCTGAGCTCCAAGGATCCTTCCTTTATCTCTATAACTTGTTTCCTCAGCCCATTTATTTCAGGAATTACTTTTTCTACCTCTGTGATTTTCTAAGTAAATGTTCTGTTATAGTCTGAGTCTTGGCTCTGAATTCTTTCCTAGCCAGAACTCAAGTGCCAAGGTTGCTGAACCCAGGTTGGATCTGATCCCACTGGTCTAACACCTGGTGCCATTCTGCCGCCACAACAGGATCAAAGTTGTTGTTGTTTTTAATCCTCACCCAATGACATTTTTTCATTTTTTGTTCAGATAGAGTGGGAGGGAGAGAGAGGAAGAGAGAGAGAAACATCAATGTGAAAGGGACACATGGAGTGGTTGCCACCCGCACGACCCAACCAGGCCAGGGACAAACTGCAACCGAGGTACATGCCCTTAGCGGGAACCAAACCTGGGTCTCTCTGGACCACAGGACGATGCTCTAACTGCTGAGCCAGCCTGGCCAGGGCAGGATCAAAGATTTAAATGTAAATAATGGAAACCACAAAGGTTCAGAAGGAAACAGCGGAGCTTCCATTATAAGTCTGGAATGGGAAAAGTCTTTCTAACCATGATCAAAATTCAGGAGTCATAACAAAAGATGGATACATTCAAATATTTAAAAAGTCTTGCCCTGGCCGATGTGACTCAGTTGGACCACCATCCTGTGCACTGAAAGGTTGTGGGTTCAATTCTCAGTGAGGGCACATTCAGGAGGCAACTGATCAATGTTTCTCTCACATGTCAATGTTCCTCTCTCTCTCTCTCTCTCTCTCTCTATCTCTTTCTCTCTCTCTCAAATCAATTAAAACATATCCTCAGGTGAAGATAAATAAATAAATAAAGTCTTCTTCAAGGGAAAAAACATATTACCTCATATGTAAAGTGTAAAAACAAAAGACAAAGCAGTGAAAAGTATTTGAAACTCAAATCACAAAGAATTAGTCTTGCTGCCATATAGAGAAGCCCGGCTGGTGTGGCTGGTGGTTGAGCGTCGACCCATGCACCAAGAAGTGGCTGGTTCGATTCCTGGTCAGGATACATGCCCAGGTTGTGGGCCCGATCCCCAGTGGGGGGCATGCAAGAGGCAGCCAGTTGATGTTCTCTCTCATCAATGTTTCTATCTCTCCCTCTCCCTTCCTCTCTCTCTAAAATCAATAAAGAAAAAAAATTTTTAATAAGTAAATTAAAAGAAATAAATGGGCACAGACTATAACCAGACAGATCAAATGACTCTTAAACATATGAAAAGATGCTCAATATCAACCCCTAATAACAGAAATGCACGTGAAAGCAGGACTGAGATGCCTTTTAAAAAATTAGCAGGTTGCCCTGGCCGGTTTGGCTCAGCAGTTAGAGCATCAGCCTGCGGTCCAGAGAGACCCGGGTTCAGTTCCCGCTAAGGGCATGTACCTCGGTTGCAGTTTGTCCCCAGCCCTGGTTGGTCGTGCGGGTGGCAGCCACTCGATGTGTCCCTTTCACGTCGATGTTTCTCTCTCTCTCTCTCTCTCTCTCTCTCTCTCTCTCTCTCTCCTCTCACCCCTCTCTTCTCCCCCCCCCCCTCTCCCTCCCATTCTACCTGAACAAAAAAATGTCCTCGGGTGAGGATAAAAAAAAAAAAAAAATTAGCAGGTTGGCAAAAATCAAAGTTTGAGGAGACTGCTTTGTTGGTAAGATTATGAAGACCTAGGCCCTCTTTAAATAAAAAAAAGAAAAAGAAAAAGAACTTTATTGATTTTTAGAGAGAGAGGAAGGGAGAGAAACATCTATATGTGAGAGTGAAACACCTGTCTGCTGCCTCCTGCATGCCCCTACCAGGGAATCAAACCAGTAACTTTTCTGTATGTGGGACGATGCCCAACCAACTGAGCCACACTGTCCAGGGCAGACCCAGGCCCTCTTATACATAGCAGGTGGAAGTGCAAATTGGTACAACCCCCTCAAAAAACCATTTGGCAATATAGAGCAAATTTACCAGTCTGTGTTCTCTTGACCAATCAATTTCCCCTAAAGGGTCAGTGATGCCCTCCTTGGTTGGACACTGGAATCATAAGGATGCCCTGGTCCCACTCTTAGAGATTCTGAAGTTAACTGATCTGAGGTATAGCCTGGGTGTTGGTTTTTGTTTTTTTTTTTTAAGAAAAAAATTTTTTATTTATTGATTTTTAGAGAGAGGAAGGGAGAGGGAGAGAGAAATAGAAACATCAATGAGAGAGAACATCGACTGGCTGCCTCCCGTATGCCCACACT